CGAAACCCAGTTTCTAGCGTTGTATGTCCGCAGACATACCGCTGTGCCACGTGGGGGGGGGGGCAACTAGTCAACACCACCCACTGCCAATTCTTGGACTATTACTTTTACAAAGAAAAGTGGTATTGTCCACCACGTTATAACGCCCCAATGGCTTAAAGGGCGAGCATGTTTGGTGACGGGATTCGAACCCACAAATAAAGAGTCAAACACCCTAATCACCAGGCCATCCCAAATCCAAGATAAAAGTAAATGGACTGTTAGGTGTACCATTTTAGAACCCGTAACTAGTCAATTAAAGTATATAAGCTTTCAAAAAAGAACAAGGATGAAAGTTTCAAAATACTGGCCCGCAGATGACTTTAATATAGACCATCACATATTTTCTTAGGTAATTGCTTTGAAGTAAATCTTGTGGTTTCAATATCCCTCAAGTCTGAGAGTCTTTTGGGTAAATGTTCATACATATATATTGTTACGTCTTTGATCATTTGTTACTTTTTCGTAAAAATTCTTTCCAAAGAAACTTTAGCGCTACAAGTCCTTTCTTAGATAAAACTAGTTTATTCTTTCTCAATACAACTTTGCAATATACTTAATTTCCACAGTCGCGCTATAACTTAAACAAACGTTATAGTTCACAACGAACGAACGATTCACGCGCTTGACTCAATTGTCGTCTCTATCTCTGTCTGCAATTCAATTCCGATTGTTGCCGTCACTTTTTGGCGGTCTTATATACAAGAATACCGCACATCTAGTAAACACTCGAGGCTTCACGAACGGACATGAATTTTCTAGAAGCTCATGACGAGTTACTAGCGTCACGTGACTTCCGCTGTCGTAACAATATATATAAATGTGTGTGTGTTTGTTTGTTTTGTTAAGCCTATATATCTTAGCTTTTATAAATTTGCTGAAGCTCGAGGGATTTCTTAAAGAAACAACATTGTTTGTTTTAACAATGATATGTGACAATTTTAAGTTTCTCTTACTTTGCAATGACGTTTTAACTAACAACAAGAAGTCTGGGCATTAGTTGTTACCAAGGTTTTGGCAAGCACAAAAATAAAATAAAAAACGAAATTTTAAAGATCTTCACGTATTTGCCTGTGTATTATATTGTTACGTCTCCGTTTGCTAATTGATTTTTTCGTAACTTCGTTCCAACGAAACTTTAACGACACAAGTCTTTACTTAATAAAACTGGTTTATTCTTTCCGAATATAACTGTGCGATACACTTAATCTCAATACTCGCGCTAAAACAAACACTATAACGAACTGTTACGTCTCCGTGCTCTCTGACTGTAGTTCAATTACTCACTGTCTATACACACACATCACCTTAAACTCGCGTCACGTTGTCCCCTCTTATATATACCAAACTACCCTATATCTAGCAAATACTAGAGCATTCACCAAGATACGGGATAGTTCTAGAAACGTGGCGTCACTGTAGTCATGTGATCTCGATGGCGCAACACTGC